TTTGTCTGGTACCCCAATTACTGGTACACACTGTCCAGATCTTATGTGGGTGCTGGGAATCCAAACCTAGGTCCATGCTTGCATGACAAGTACTCTCTGTCTGTTTTTTGTTTTGTTTTTTCCTCCTGAAACAGTCTCACTATGTTGCCCTAGCTAGTCTAGAGCTTACTTTGTAGACCATGCTGTCCTGGAACTGGCAGAGATCTCCCTACCTCTGTTGAAACTAAAGGCATATGCCACCACACCTGATGTCTCTTAGTTCCCGAAAGGAACTCCTATCCCAGGTGTTCCTCAACTAATATTGACTGAGCAGTAACTGTGTGACAGGCACTGTGTGTGGGATTGCTGGTGCCTGGGCCACACCAAGGTCCTGCAACTGTGGGACAGATAGCGGCAGCAGGATCTAGCCTTATCTGAATTCCCATTTTAGCCACAGACAAAGCAACTCCTCTCTACCCTTTTCTTTTTTTCTTCTTTTTTTTTTTTTTTTTTTTTTTTTTTTGGTTTTTACGAGACAGGGTTTCTCTGTATTGTTTTGGAGGCTGTCGGTCCAGCCCGGCCTCGAACTCACAGAGATCCGCCTGCCTCTGCCTCCCGAGTGCTGGGATTAAAGCCGTGCGCCACCACCCCCAGCCTCTCTACCCTTTTCTTGCTTCTTCCTGGGAGGCAAGACCTGTGCGGTTGGCAAGATGATGAGACTCTGCGTCCACAGGATGGTTTGCTAATGGACAGTTATTGCTATTAGAAGAAATCTTCTTTTGCAGCAGCTTAAGTACATCTGGAATTTTCAGTGCAGCAGAGATGGGGGTTCTACCTTATATCTAATTGCCATGTGATCATAGCACCGAGACAGACGAGATGCTAGACTTGGCCTAGGATTGCTCCTTGCACCAGCTTTTGTCTGGAGGGAAGAAGACAACCCAGGGTTTGGCATTAGGAGAGTTGTTTGTAGCAACCACGTGCCAGTTTGAAGTGCCAAAGAAATCCTCTCTTGCTGGAGAGATAACTGCGACCTGCACCACTCCCCTGCAAGGTGATTTGCCCACTGGATGCTTGAGGCCTGCAGTCTTTTCGGTCATCGGGAACCCAGGGAATGGGGTGCAGTGGAGCCCAGGCAGAAGCCAGTCTCCAAGATGATGGAATGGCTAAGCTCTGCCTTATAGATGGACCACACAGGATTTGCCTGAAACCCTTATCTACATGAAAGCATGTCTGGAAACATAAGACTATCATTAAGTACAGTTCATCGTTTTTTTAAAAAGGGTATTATTTTAAATCATCTTTGTGTGTTTGACATGTGCCTGCAGGTGTGTATGTGTGTGAAAAGTACACATGCATGCACATGCCCAAGGAGTCAGAAGGGGGCATCAGATTCCCTGGCAGTTGTGAACTGCCTGACACGGATGGTGCTGAGAACCAAACTTCCATCCTCTGCAAGAGCAGGAAGCCATGATTCTAACCCCCAATCTTTTGTAGCATTTGCTGGTATCCTGTAAATAATATAAAGAGTAAAACTAAGCAAAAGCCCATGAACTGTGAATCCTGCAGAGTTGGGGTAGCATCTACAGACGGGGGTGTCAATATGCTTGCATCTAGAAGACTGTGAAGGGGGCAGACTAGGCTCTGGTTTTCTCAGGGTGGACAGTTTTGGATGGGACTGAAGCATGGATAACAGACAGGTCCCTTGCTTTGTGGCACTCTCTGTTAGAAGAAAGCACACTTTCTGCACTTGTGGCACACACAGCTAACAATTCCCAGGCGTTTAAAATCTTTTACAAAAATGCAAACGGTTACACGAGAGAAACCGCCTTTTACAAGTCCCTCCTATTTTAATGTTTACAGTAAACTCCCCGCTAAGGATGTGTTAGAAGTCCTGATTGTTGTTAGTTGGGCAGTTTTCAAAGGAGCTTTGTTTGGCCTTCTCTTCGGACTGGCAAAGCTCTGTGGACTGCTGCCATTGCTTTACCAGAATGCCATGAAGTGGCACTTGAAAAATGATGAAAATGTTGCAATTTTGACTTCCAAATATTAAAATAACATGTCCTACCAAGCAGAGAAGACAGCACCTCTAATTCTGTGGCCATGTGAGTGTTGAGGGGACAAGAGAGGAGTCAGGTCACATGGGGGAAGCTCAAGGCTTCTTAGATGTGGTCAGCTCAGCTTTGGCACGAGCTGTGGTGGTTCCAACGATCACAGTGCAATCGTCAAAATGAAAACCACGTGTTCGGTGTATGACAACCCTGCCTGTATATCACATGTGGTGATTTGAGGGAGAAATGTCCCTAATGGACTCGCGGGTTTGAACACTTGTCCCTAGTTGGTGGTGCTGTTTGGGGAAGTTTTGGGACCTTTGGGAAGTGGAGGCTTGCTGGGGCAGTCTTTGAGGTTTTGTACCTGACCCCACTTTCTGTTCCCTCTGTTTGCTTCCTGTGTGCAGAGGAAGTGTGACCTCTCTGCTTCCTCCCTTCCAGGCTAGTCGCATGCTCCTGCTGCCTTCCCCACTAGGATAGGCTGCATGGCCCCCGGAACTACAAGCCAAAATCAATCCTTTCTCTTCCATGTTGTTTTTTTTGTTAAGATATTCTACCACAGCAACAGAAAATATAGTACATGTTTTATATTATTTACATTATAATGTATGTATTACAGTATTCTCATTGTTTTATACCTGTGTACAAACACTTCAAAAGAGTGTGTCGGCTATTTTTTTCTTGTCAACTTGACACAAGCAAGAGGCAGTGTCAAATGAGAGTATGCTTCCATAGATTTGTTTACAGACAAGTCTACATTGCATTTTCTTGATTAATGATTGAGGGCCCGGCATATAGGGGGCAGTACCACCTCTGGTCAGGTAAAGAAAGCGCTGTGATCAAGTCAAGTTCAGCAAGCCAGCAAGCAGCATTCCTCATGGCTTCGCTTCAGTTCCTGCCTCCAGGTTCCTGCCCTGGCTTCCTTTGATGATGGACTCTGATGAGGAAGTATAAAATGAAATAAACTCTTTCCTCCCCAACATGCTTTCAGCATGGTGTTTTATCACAGCAAATGAAACCTTAACTCAGACAGGTTGAGATGGGATCAAGTAGTGAGCACCCCTGGGACCCAAGCTCTTGTTCACAGTCCATAATCTCATTCCTGTTTTGATGATTCTTTTGCTTATTCAATTCAATGCGTTGTGACACTATTCAGAGAACTAGAAGCGATTTTAGGAGAAAGTTGACAGGTCATGTAAGTAGAATGTAAAAATTTATAATTATTTGTACCATACAGAAGACACTTTTCCATTTAAAAAAGATTTATTTTTATTGCCTTTATTTATGTTTATGTGTGTGTGCGCGTGTGTGTCTGTGTGTCTGTGAGTATTTGAGTACAGTGCTTTCAGAGGCCAGAAGAGGGCGTTGGATCCCACTAGAGCTGGAGTTGTAGGTGCTTGTGGATGCCCTGACATGGGTGCTAGGAACTGAACTCAGATCCTCTGAAAGAGCAGCAGGTGCTCTTAACTGCTGACTCAATGTTGGTGTAAGGAGTAAGATAGGATTCCAGCTTTCCTTTTTTCCTTTCATATTGCTAGTTAATTATCTCAGGTTTTGTATTAAGGATGCAATTAAAATGCATACATTACCCAGAACTTTAAAGTGAATATTAATGAAAACCTGGGAAAAATGGTGGTCTGATTGTGTTTACATGATGTTCTTATTCTGATTAAGATTAATTTAGGCCCAATGAAGTCTTATAAGAAATAAACCAGGAACCTAGGAAAACACTATCTCCCTAAAAGCAAGCAGCTGCACTGGGAGGGCTAGAGGGAACAGCATGCCTGGGGCCACGAGCAGAGACAGGGTAAAGACAGTGACATATTCTGTGATGGACATGAAATCATCACAGCATTTTCTAGTCAGCTGCTCTGTGACAAGAACTCATTTCCTTTCTGCCTCAGCAACCAAATCCATCTTCACTGCCTGTATTAGTTACTTCTCTATGAGGTCAACTACTCACTGCCTATATTAGTTACTTCTCTATGAGGTCAAGTACACACTGCCTACATTAGTTACTTCCCTATGAGGTCAAGTACTCCCTGGTTATATTGGTTACTTCTCTATGAGGTCAAGTACTCCCTGGCTATATTGGTTACTTCCCTACGAGGTCAAGTACCTGGCAGGGGCAACTTAAGGGAGACTGGGTCCAGTCACATCTGTCATAGCAAGGAGGGCATGGCTGAGTGAATCCATGGTGGTAGGGACGTGGTGGCTTCTCACATGGGGAAACCCACAGCTTTAACCCTCAATGCTGTCGGGTGACTCATCTCTGCCATCCATGCCTCACTTCCGGAATGTCTGGGAGCCCTCCAAAACCTTGGAGTACCAGGTGTTCAAACACAGAAGCCCATGGGGACATAGTTCAGACTCAAGTCATAACACCAACACAGTATTTATGTGTGTTTGTTTGTTTGTTTGAGACAGGAGCTGACTATGTGACCCAGGCTAGTCATTAACTAGCAGCAATCGTCCTGTCTCTGCCTCAGTCTATTTTTTTTGTCTGAATTTCTCTGTCTTCACTTTTTATTTTTCATTTACCAAGAATTCACTTTTAAATTTGAAAATTCTTACTGGAAATGAAGACCATTTTGAATCTTAGAGCTAAAGAAAGCAGTAGAAATTTTAGTGGATAGAGACTAATTTGAAGAAAGATGTTATTTCAGTATACAGAATGCTAGCTATTTTGTTGAAGGTATTTTACATTCATTTCGTGTCTGTGCTTGCGTGTATGTGGATGCTTGTATGCTTCCGTGTGCATGTGGAGGTCAGAGGATAACGTTTAGGAGTGGGTTCTCTCCCTCTATCATGTGGGCTCTGGGAATTGAACTCAGGTTTGTTTTTTTTTTTTTACAAGCTGAGCCACCTCATCCACCAGCCTGTTAACTATTTTCTTATGACCCCTTGGCAAGTACCTGAAAAACATGTACTTTATTTTTACGACAAGCACACAAATAACAAGTAAAAGAGTTGGGTTTAGGTATTTATTGTTATTATTTAAAAAAAAAGCAACTTCCAGGGTATACCATTGTACAGGTTCAGCCCAGTCTCCTACAGCATGGTATGGTGATGACAGATCTTTCATACAATGACATGGAGACGGTGAACATCCATAACTAAATTACCATAGAAAAAGAGAAGAGTTTAATGTTATGTGCATTCAGAAATCATATTCTAATTCTTTTAAATTGATAATGTAGCCAGACTCAGTTAACTAAGACGACAACTGACCAGAATGCTCCCTTCCCTTCCTCCTGGTGAGTATGGACAGGCTTTATATAGCTTACAAACAAATTCCACCCATTTTACACAGCATTAATTCCTTCTGCTCCTGAACTGTTGTTAGATTATTCTTTGTGCGCAGGTGGTAAGTGAGGACCACGTCTGCTCCTCCTAAGGGTCCTGGGGAGACCCCACCCCTGGCTGGAGAGCCAGCATTTCCATGAGTTTATGGGTAGCTGTGTTCCCCATGCTGGGGAAAGACCACTCTTATCCGTCTCACAGAAGTGTGTGCCAAGCTCCAGGCAGGACCCTGGTTGTGAGCGAGCTGTCAGCACAGGAACTGACTGCAGTTCCCAGCAAGGTGTCATTGATGTTGTGTAAACGAGGGCGTCGTCAGTTCAGTGACTATTTGTACATTAAAGCGGTATGGTCACGGGATATCAACAAGCACAGCTTGGTAGAGTAGCCTGCCATGAAATATCACTGGCTTTAATAATTTACTACAACTGTTCGTTTTATTCACACCTATAGGACGTGTTTCCATCTGTCATGTGGAATATGAATATATACAACAAAATTTGGTTTCTATATAAAAAAACTTCATGAGGACAATAACAAGGGGTCAAACAAATAACACACAGTTTCCTAGTTACAACCACTATCTCCTTTTGCTTACAGGGAATGACACAGAACCGATGGACTTTAAGCTATGTAGACTTTTCCTGCCCAAGTAACCTACTATGAAAGGTAGTAACCTTGTTCAGTTTCTAGAAACTTCTAACCATAATTCTGAATGGCCAGGGAAGACATACTGGATCAATTCTAAGGTCAAACCTTGCAAATTCTTCTCAGAATCACCATGTATCAACATTCCTTATTCCTTATACACTTCACAACGACCTCTTGGAAAACTGCACAGGGCACAGGGTGGCCTCTTCTTGGGAGCAGGCTGCCTTCCCTGGAGCCCACTTTTGTTGAACAGCAATGCCAGCATTTGGTTTGGACTTTCTAATGGTGCACAATGGTGCAGGAGTGATGTGGGGTGGCCTGTTTTGTACTGCCAGCAGTCAAAACAGTTGCCATGAGGGCTCATTGTCTGCATGCTGTGAGCCTAGGGAGTCCATTCTCCTAGGAATGGTTTTCTGGGGCCCAGCAATGTCACCACAGGTGGCGGAGACATTCCGGTCCTTATTTAATGAGGGACTACACTAAAGAAGCTTGGTTCTACAACTAGATGGTGCAGGGCCCAGTAAGAGTGAGGGAGGTCACTTGTCGTAAGTCCTGAAAAGAAGGGAATGGCAACCACAGGGAGAAGGGAGAAGGGTGAAGTCTGAGGTACACTTGGGAAAGTGTCACTTTGGTATTGGCACCACAGGTGCTTAGGCACTCCCAGGTCAATTTTCCCCAGACAATACCTTTTATGCTGGTGACTCCCCCATTCTCCTCTGCTTCTCTAAGGTTGGGATTGCAAATAGTATTGAACTCTGTTAGTTCCAAATGATGACTGACAGGTCATTAGAGCTGTGGTTTGAAGTACTGTAGAAAAGCATCCTCGGGCTAAACTGAGAAGTAGCGCTGAGACTGGTTAGCAATGTCTGCCTTGGGAACAAGAACTGGTGCCTACGGAGTGCACCACACCTGATGCCTCTGTTCTAAGCAAGCTGAAAGGAGGAGGCTAACTTCAGTTCTTAAGGGATCTTTGTAGACTGGAGCCCAAAGCACAAAAATCTTGTATTATCTTTTGATCCAGGGGAGGGCTGAGATTTTAGGAGCCTGAGACAGGCATTTCAGGGCCCGTGGGAGACTGAGGGCGGAAACATGATTGTGGATGGGCTGCACACTGCCTCTGACAATAACCTCGATTTTCGTGGGCGACAATGTGCAGCTTTTACATGAGGTTAAAGGGCTCGCTGATCAGGCAGCTTCAGAATGACATGGAGGGGTGGGGTGACAGTTTCAGGCAGAGCTTTTCCTTACACACAGGGTGTGTTTCCCCCTTGTTTAACAACTGGTGATATTTGTGAGTAGACTGAGGGCCAAGGAGAAATACACCAGCCTCTACACACAGTGGCCTGCTCCAGAGTGAATCAACTGGGAGTAGTTTTCTTATCAAGTCAGGACTACTGTCCCTCAACTTTGGAATCTGGTCCTTCACTGATGAAGAAGGACCTTGTGAGCTCACGTGGAAGGCGCCATGTGATCAGCTCAGTATTTAAGGTGAATCATTAGGAGGTTGCCTTTGACAATGACTTGGTGGTTTAGTGTCTGTGCCTGGTTGAAGCCAACCATCTCTAGATGTAACAGCTGGATGCTCCCATCAACGTTTCCCCATCAATGTTAAGGACAGACTCCACTAATGTCTCAGCATGGCAACACACCTTCCCCATCACAAACAATGCTTCCCTCCTCACTGGGAAACTGGGAGGTTTGGGAAGGAGAATAGAGCATGTGTTCTTATATAAGACAACCTGCAGATCCCCATCGGATACCTGCTTGATGCATCCTATGGACACCGCACCTTTTTGGAGTTGCTGGGCGGTGTCCAGGGGTAAGGATGGCCTGGTTCCCAGTCCAAGAGTCAAGAGCCAAGTCATGGAGGAAGGCGGCATTCAGAATCTCACCAGGTTATTTCTTATCCGATGCTGCATTCCATTTTTGGAAATTACCTTCTTCCTGGTCTCCATGGGACACGATCTGGTTGAGAGCATCTTGGCAGTGTAGCCATCTCTGGAACCTTCTTCTAGAGGTGAGGGCTAGAAATGTGACTTCAATTGTCTCATTGTTTGTCTTTAGGCAGTTCAAAATTTCCGTTTTGTTCTGCCCATCATGACTTTTAAATCCTGCAAGTCAGTCACCGCTCACCACCTTGGGCTGGGAAGATCTTTCTGACAGTAGAGGAGCCTCCCCTTGGAGTTTCTCAGGCAGCCCAGAGCACAGACTTTGGGTTCTAGACAGAAGGCCTTGGAGGAGGTCGGGAGGGAGGTGGTGCCCTGTTAGGGGGTGGGGCCTGAGGAGGAGGGGGAGGGTGGATGGTGGGGAGGGGATGGGAGGAGTGGGGGCGCTGGGGGCTGGGGGAGGGCAGTGGGGAGCAGGGGGTGGGGGCGTATAGATAGGGGCAGGAGGGGGGGAGCTGGGGTGGTAGGCGTTGTTAAGTGGGTACTTGGCTGCCTGAGTGTTCTTCACTCTGGTGAAGTTGATGCAGCGTCCCTGGAAGAAAATCAGAGGAGGACCATGAATGAACACCTTCAGACAGAGCAGGTGCTGAGCACAGTGACCCTTGAAAGAATGTGTGAGGGACATACTGACATGCTGCTGCTGACCTGGTGACCCGATACCACATTAGCCACAGGTCCCTTTGAATTCATTTCCCTTCCTGGGCTGGCTGGGCCTCACAATGTCACAATTCATTTCCTTTATAGTCTCTCACCCTCTTGGGTGGGGAGAGGAAAGAGGGCTGACACTAGCTGGACCACAGCATTATGGAGGGCATCACATTGACTTTTAGCCTTGCCAGTAGGGTGTGACGTGTATTCCCTTCCCTGGAAACAGGTTGAAGCTGAGAAACAAGACCTCTTCCCCAGGCCTTCACATCATGCTGCCTTTTTTTGGGGGGGTCTGGTCACAGGACTCCCCACACCTGCCTTTGTAAGAAATTCAACAGAGATGTTTTGTTGCTAAGTGGGCATGTACCCACTTTTTCCATGTGTGGCTTTTTTCCATGTGTGGCTTCCTAGGGACTTATTAGGGCAACGCTGAGAGACCCCTGTATTCTCTCCCCAGACAGACTCTGGAGAGTACAGAGCCTGAGGCAGCTCATCTCCTGCTGTGCCCAGCCTCTCCACTCCACCCCACCCCACATCTGCATGTCACCAGCTGTATGAACTCCATGTCCCTGACAAGCTCCCCCACGCCCCCAGCCAGGCCAGGATACGGCCGCCCTGTGTGCTCCTGGCCTCCCTTGGTTTCCCATGGGCATCCTTGGCTGTGTCCTCCGTGTGTCACAGAATCATCTGGGGGGGGGTGACACCTCTGAGTATGCCCTTGTCTTTCTCCTGCTGTTCGTTTATCCACTGCTGGCAGACAGCACAGCCTAGACTTCTCTCCACACTGACACACAGCCTGTAATTTGACCCTGTGTGTCTAGGTGGAGGCGTGTCTGGAGAGCCCCCAGTTCCCCACATTAGACCCCAGGGAAGGGCCAGAAGGGGAACACGGAGGGTCAGGTTGTAGAATTTAAGGAACAATGTGTGTGTGTGTGTGAGAGAGAGGGGCCACGGAAGTGATTCCCCTGACACTTGGCCTGTAATGAATCAACAAGCCCAAAGCTTGTGGGGGCTGGGAGATGAGGAGGCCAAGAGAACCATCCTTCAGGTCCTATGTCCATCCTCCGGATAACGCTGGCCTCCGCGCTTTATTTGCTTTCTTGGGTATTTTTCTAGTCATTGTCTTTAGCACACACTGCAGCCTGCACACTGCAGTTGTTTTATCTGTAAATGCTTAGCCTTTCATGACAGAGGAGACACTTTTGCTTTTCTACAAGAAGAAACCTCCCAGGGTGCTTTGCGTGGGAGGTCAGGAGAGTTACAGTCAGAATGGAGTTGTTTGAAGCCACCTGGGAAAAGCAGAGGCTTTGGGAGCATTTAGCAATTGTCTGGAAATGCCTTTCTGAAACATCATGTTAGCCAGAGTGTCTGGGTCGGAAAGGGCCGGACCCAGCCAGACTGTATCTGTTTAGGAATTATGATGTCCTACCCAGGTGCCAGCACCGGGGTCCTTGGTGTGGGCATGTCACAAGATGAAGCCATGGCCAAGCTTAACTGGGTCTCTTTTGGGGCTCCACTAATGACAGCAACCACCTGGCATCTTCTCACTTTCCCTCCCAGAGCTCCCAGCTCCAGGCAGCTTGCAGGCCACACATGCAACTGTACAGTCGCCACTGGCCAGGCAGCTCTCTTTTCCAGTTGATTTTTCCAATGACAGTGTATAGGGCTCTTTTCTGTTATGGCCGTCTGTGAGAAAATCCCACACTGACAACTCAGAGTCCACCTTCTCTGTCTTCCTTCCTAGACACCTAACAAGCACAAATGGCATCCGGAACCTTGGTCCCTTTAAAGATGGAGATTCTGGGCTGCGGGAGATGAGGCGAGGTCCCCTCTGCCTTCAGATCTTAGAGTTGCCGCTGAGTCAATTAGTCCAGAGGTCCACATGCTCACTGTAAGAAACTGAGCATACAGCTGTCCCCAGAGGCTCTTCTGTCTAGAGGCTCAGGAGCTCCTGGCCCTCCACCAATGTCTGCTCAGAGCCCATTTGGGAGGTCAAATCTGTGATGTGGACTGGGGCTCTTGGGAACACTGGCCAGTTACAGGCACTGTGAGAGTCCTTTACTACCCTCAGGGAAGGGTCTAGAATAGTGGTGCTGTATCACATTTGGGAAACAGCTGAATTTAGGGCTGCCCTCTACCATGGGGAAACATGTCGGAGACAGAACTGGCCTCGCCTGTGGTAGACAATGGAAGTAGCATCAGGCCTGACTCTGGTTTAGCGCTGAGTTGCACACCACACCGGGCTTCTATGATAACATTAGTGAACAGGAATAAACGAGGCACAGGAGGTGATGGAAGCAGCCTCAGCGGCCCCTCCTGTCTTCCTGTTGCTACATAACCGCTGTCACTCATTCATGCAGGACCTCCCACAGTGCTTTGCTCATGCAGCTGACAGATGACACATCTGGATTTATCTTACTGAGAAAAGGTGCAGACTCAGCACAAATGTGCCCTGGGGCATTTACAGTAAGAAACGGCTCTTCAAACAGCGGCATGGCTCCGGAGAGTTCTAAAAACCTGGGCCAGAGGCGCCAACACAAACACGAGATGCGTAATTGGCCTAAAGATTAGTTCACAGGGCATTTTCTTTCCCGTTTCACTCTTAGTTTTTTGCTTGTGAGGGGATAATAGAAAGGCCAGATGTTGTTAGCGTTGTACACGCCAGCAGATCTCCAGTGTTTGGTTAAAAAGGTTGCTATGGTGACCAAAGCTTTCTCTCATGATACTGGCCCTTTGCAAGTCATTTTAATTCTCCACAGCGCTGTTTCTGGGTGGTTTGAGTCATGTCCAAGGCTGGCTTTGACCTTAGTTTACCTTGCCTCCTTCATTAACAAAATAAGAGTGCCATTTTTTTTTCACACACTAGTAGCACATGCTCTGGTAGAATTTTATTTTTTAAGTTTATTTGTATGCATGGGTATTTAGCCTGCACATGTCTCTGTACCATGTGTATGTCTGGAGGTTAGACGTTGTTAGATTTCCTCAATCTGGAGTCACAGATGGTTTTGAGCTGCCATATGAGTCCTAGGAATTAAACTTGGGTCCTTTGCAAGAGCAGCCAGTGCTCTTAACCGCTGAGCCACCTCTCTAGTCCCTTTGGCAGAAGCTGAGTGGTAGAGCAATTGCCTAGCATGCATGAGATCTTAGACTCAATCCTCAGTACCATACACACAAAAAGTCCAACAGGAAAATGCGACAATATCCTCTAATACAATGGGACAGTTATCAGAAGTCCCCCCCATCATCTTTATCTATGAAGAATCCATGAGCACTTCAAAATCCTATGAGCTAGACATCATTACCTCCATGGGGAGAAATGAAAGGGAGGGCTCAGGCTTATTTAAATACTTTGTTCAAAACTACCCAGGCAGCAACAGGTTGGGTGGGACTAAAGCCTAGTTCTGCATGACCCAGGAATACATTCTTTTTACTATTATTCTGGATACAAATAATAAGTGCAAAAAGATTCTCAAAGAACCAATGGCTAGCTTTACACAGTGTGAGAAGCTGTTCCAGAATGCAAGACTGTCTGCTCAGTTCATCTCTAGTACAGAGCTCTTCAATGGCTCCACTCAAGATAGTCCACAGCCTCCAATGACATGAGGTCCTGTGATGCTGGCCTCACTCTACCTGCGGACATCCAGCTGGTCCTGCCCTAAGTTCTGTGGATGCTTTTCATTGACATGAACAGCACAGAACTTGGTGCTGTTTTCAAATATCTCCCAGGCAGCCTAATGGTCTCTCCTTGAAGCCAGGGAGCCTACTAAGATCTCAAGGTCCAAGTTGTTTCTTGACAAGTTATCCCTATATAGCCATGAGTCTCTGAGCAGGATATTCTTAAAATGACACATAGCCCTCATAAGTTAGCTTTTTAGAAGTGCAGGCTATGATAACAGGGCTACGTAGACATCCTTAAGTTACCTTGCCATAGGCTCTCACCAGTTTTGGGGGAGACATTCTGAGGATCCTATATACTCTTTTTCTTTGGTCTCTCCCTACCTCTTTTGACAGGGTTTCATGTAGCTCAGGCTAGCCTTGATCTTGCTATATTGCCAAGGATGGATGACTCTGTTTTTATTCCCAGATACTGGGCTTACAAGCATGTACAGTCACACTCAGTTTTTTTTTTGTCATGCTGGGGATGGAACCCAGGGCTTATTTAATTTTTTAATGGTAACTGTCCCCCTAACAAATCCCTTTGCCTAATTATGGTGTGGTTGGGATTAAGGTCTTGTTGGCCACATTCAGGTTTTCCCTTGACCTGTAGAAGGTATGGAGACAGGAAGCTGGCAGTATGGGACTGTGGTCTGACAGGGGCTTTGTTTTGTCCCTAACACACTCTTGCTGTGAAACCTGGGGAAAGTCACCATCTCTGAGGTCCTCACTTCCCTGGTCTTCTATACTGGCTAGATGTGTTGCAGGGTCCTTATCCTGGGGCTCCATGATTCCATGTTTAATTGGAATCTGTTGGGCAGCCAGTTTGCACATCTTTTTATGTTGCTTAGTTTGGCTAGCTCCAGTCCTTTGTACTGCATATCTTCCAGCTGTTTGTTAGGTTTCTGAAATATTAGGAAATTGGACATTTAAGCATTGGCGGCTTCACCTTCTGTTCTTAGGCAGCTTTGCTGAGAATTCAAGCTGGCCCCTGAGTTCTGAGTTTGAGCTGTGGGATGCTGGGGAGATGGGGAAGAGCTCTGGGGTGACTGTGAGCAAAGAATGCGCCAGGGGTGAGCTCATGTGTGCTGAGTGTTAGGAAACATCTGGCTATCAGGCACGCTCAGCAGAGATGGAGCTGGCCTTTGGAGATGGTTAAAAATATGCCACGGCTCCCACAAATTAAACCAAATAGTTTCCTATGAACAGAGGTCATTCAAGGAAATTGGA